ATCAACCATACATAATGTATATATATTTACCAACCATATACATATTCTGAATGCAAGATGGGGAGAATGAATTATTTATAACTATTTTATGGTGATGAAGTGTTCAGTGATATATTTTTATAGGGCAGACAAGTCTTAAAACAGGGATGAATTCCAGGGCACTCTTGTTAACTCGTCATTGACACACCATCCCTAGATAATTAGGTCTCTCCACTTAATACCAAGCATTTTCTTCTCTAAAAAAATTCATTTATTGCACTTGTGTTTTGTTTTGTTTGGTACCAGGGATTGAACTCAGAGGCACGGGACCACTGGGCCACATCCCCAGCCCTATTTTGTATTTTATTTAGAGACAGAGATTCCAGGCATGCACCACCKCRCCCAGCCCAGGAAGGATACTCCCCAAAGGCSTGTCCTTGTGCAGTGTGTGACCTGCACAATCAAAACATGACCCTGGCTGACAAAGCACTCTTTTCAAAACACAAGTGCAGCAGCTTGGGAGGCTGAGGCAGGAGGATCGTGAGTTCAAATCCAGCCTCAGCAAAAGTGAGGCACTGATCGACTCAGTGAGACTCTGTCTCTAAATAAAATAGAAAATAGGGCTGGGGAGGGGGCTCAGTGGTTGAGGAGTGCCCCGAGTTCAGTCCCCCGTACCCAAAAAACAAAAAGTATCCTTGCCGTCAGAATGCAAAGAACTGGACATTTGTTATAGAGACGTCCAGCAGATGGCCGTGACCTGTCTTGAGGAAGGGGCGTCTTTTTCTTTGCACAAATGCACCTATGGGCCAGCAGTGGCCTCCCCAGCATGGATCTATAGGAGGACAGACAAGGGGTGAGGAAGCCGTTTAGATGCCGTTACAATTACCTGGGCTRGAAGAGAAGAGTGGCTTCAGGTAATGGGACAAGAGGAGGATGGCGTGTGAGGGATTGGTGACGCCCGTGGGAGCCCATGTGGTGACAGGGAGAAGGGGAAAGGGGAACAGGAAGGGCAGGAATGACTGGCAGGTCTCTGGGGAGCCACATGTGGACAGAGCTGCAGTCCCGAGAGAGGAGAGGGGGTCAGGGGATGATATGATTTTGATTCTGGGATGTGGTGACTTGGCTGGCCGTGGACCCCTTGGGGAGGCAGTCCAGCTAGCACATGGGCAGGGTGGAGGCTGGGCCATGGACGGGATGGGATTTCCCAGAAGACTGCAGAGGCCAAGCAGAGCAGGAGGCACRGACAGAGCCCTGGGCCACCCCTACTTTGGGGACAAGAAAACACAAAGACAAAGGGATCCGGAGAGGAAATCGGGCCTTGAAGGGATGGCCACTCAGTGGCCCCTGTCCCAGCCCTCCATTTAATGTGGTAGTTCCCATCTTCTCCGGGCTGGAGAAATCCAGGCTTGTGTGCAAGATGAAAGGACATGGACTCTCCTAAAATAATGTGCACGCGCTTCACAACACTTTTTAACTAAAGAAACCATTCCCTGTACTATCAGACCCTGGGCCGTATTCCACGTGGTCATTACAGCTGGACCCCAAGTGAGGGGACTGCTCCAGAGCTCTCCAGGCTCATGTGGATGTTTCAACCACTTAGCAGAATAACAGTCTTCCCACAAATTGTTCAGCAAAACAAATATGTATAAATCCAGGCTGGAGATGTAGCTCAGTAGAGTGCCTGCCTTGCGTGCACAAGGCCCTGGGTTCCATCCAAAACAACAACAACAACAAAATATATATATATGTATAAATCAGTTCCCTGCAGATTACCAATGTAAAGATTCTTTTGCCCCCAGGGTAAAGTAACTCAAGAATGTAGCAAACTTTATTAACCCACATAACAACAATGTCATCATAACATTTGAAACTTGAAGGATGATTGATGTCATTTAAATGGTGACATCCCTGTCCCAAAGATGCCCTGAATGGAATATCCGAAAAGGTCAGCACCAGTTGATCTAGATTTTCTACTCTGTATTATTAAGAAGAGTTTAAAGAAGTCCCACCTCTGGTTTTGCACTAGAGCACACAATCAAGTTTTCCTTTCCACAGATTATTTCAGAAGAGCTGGTTCCAGAGTCTGGCTGCCCTTCGCTGAGCTCTGCCAGCGCGCCCCTCGTTGCTGTGTGCTCAGTCGCTGCCTTTCCCCTCTTCCTGTGCTTCTTTGATTCCGGCAGATTCTCGGTCTGTAGATCTAATGTCCGTGCATCTGTCTGAAAAGCTGAAAGCCACCTGATCTTCCTCGGGGGCTTCCCATCAGCCCTCCGCTCAGGGACAGTCTATTTGATGAATCTGGGGAGGACGCTCATCCTCTTTCTGTAAATGCAGGGAACAGGAGCCCATGGTCCACGATGCTAGGTCCAGTTCAATTGTTCAGAAGCTTCAAATCGAGAGGCTCCTGGATCCCCTCTAGAAAAGGGGGTTTAGAAAAAGGGGGTGAGCTGAGCTCCTTCCTCCAGAGCGTGCGCTTGGAAGTGACAGTCCCCAAGAGAGCAGGTGCTGCAAACCCCGCTTCATGTACCTGGGACCCTAGAGTCTGCAAGCCAACTCCTGCAGGCTCTATGGCCACATTTCTTGATGTGTATCTTTATTAATTAATTTATTTATTTATTTAGGTCCTGGGAATTGAATTCAAGGGCACTTAACCACTGGGCCACATCCCAGCCCTATTTTGTATTTTATCTAGAGACAGGGTCTCACTGAGTTGCTCAGCGCCTCACTGTGGCTGAGGCTGGCTTTGAACTCACCATCCTCCTGCCTCAGGCTCCCAAGCCACTGAGATGATGTGTGTCATTTTTAAGAGAAAGAAAAGGAGAGAGGAACAAATGGAGCAAATCAGACGACCTAATACAGCATTAATTTCAATGATCTGTCCCATTGTCCTAACGAGCATGCTCATACTTCTTCTATTTAGAAAACATGGTCACTGTCTAAATGAATTGTCGGTCAACACAATATACATTGCTTACTAATCTGGGAAAGATGGGAGAATGAATTTGCAGCGATTTAGCACTTTTCATTATGGAAATGCCACATAAATATTTAACTCTAATGTTTATTTTATTCTAATTTTTGTTAATCACATTTGCTTAGTTAACATGGCATACTTATGCCAAGTTTTTATTATTGTCACAGATTTTTAAATGATGGCAATTTCGTGTGCTATTTTATTTGAAATTAGGTTGATTGTGAAGACTCACACAGAATCGCCTATTAATTTTAGGGCTTAGTATTTATGCCACTGTACCAGCAGATTCCCCAGCAGACACACGTGCGACACACAACATATTCACGCAAGTGCACAGACACACACTTGCTCGCCCCCGTTATCAGTGAGACAGCACGTTGGCACACTGCTTCTTTTCCAAGGGGAAGAATTTTTCTTTAAAGCCTCCTTCATACTTTAAAAAAAWTTTTTTTTTTTAGTTGTGGATGGACACGATACCTTTATTTTATTTATTTTTATGTGGTGCTGAGGATCGAACCCAGGGCCTCACACGTGCTAGGCAAGTGCTCTACCACTGAGCTCTAGCCCCAGACTCCTTCATACTTTTTATGACAAATTTAATTCAGCACAAAATCCTTTTAAAATTAAGGAAGAAAGAAAAATAACAAAACAGAGGAGGAAGGAGGGAAGCATCCAGATGGTATAAACGCTATCAATTCTCACGTTTGACCACTAAATTGTAATAGCGTGTAAAAGAATGTTGGGACAATTACTTTTTATTGGCATTTTTAAAATTTTTTAGTTGTCCATGGACCTTTTATTTATTTATTCATTTATTTATTTATATGTGGTGCTGAGAATCAATCCCAGGGCCTCACACATGCTAGGCAAGCGCTCTACCACTGAACCTCAACCCCAGCCCTTATCAATATTCTTAATTAACATTTTCACATTTACCAATGGCTATGCTTAAATCCTGGGAGATGCCTTTCTACCCAGGACTCTTGGCTCTCATCTTTAGGAATTCTTTTTTTTTTTTTTTTGGTGGGGGGAGGGGGTACTGGGGATTGAACTCAGAGGCCTTACCCATTAAGCCACATCCCCAGCCCTATTTTGTATTTTATTTTGAGACAGGGTCTCTCTGAGTTGCTTAGACCCTCTCTAAATACCGAGGCTGGCTTTGAACTCTCGATCCTCCTCCTCAGCCTCGTGAGCTGCTGGGATCACAGGTGTGCACCACGCACCTGGCCAAAAATTCCCTTTATAAGCTAAGCATTTCCTCATCCCACAGGGAAAGCCTGTTCTTCCACCCACTTGCTCAAAAACAGAAGGGATCTGAGGAATGAGCAAAGCGGGAAGAAGAGTCTAGAGGGATCCCACCGGGTCCTGAAGGCAGACTTTACCTCTGTCCCTGTTGTCCAGACTCGGCCCTGCTCTCTATAGACTGCAATCCAGATCCTGTGTTAGCATTCTGTTTTGGTCAGGATTCACTTCTGCTTACAGAACCTTAAAGAAGAGAGTTTATTCCACTCTCCTAGTCCCAATAGTAAGAAGACTGAGTTTCCTTCTGTCTTGTTGCTCTATTATCTGCAACTTCTTCTTGGTCAAAGATGGTTGCCCAAATTCCAGCCATTACATCCTCAGTCCACGAGTAGGAAGGGGAAAAGGGTGCAGCTCCTTTATTGATAGCCTCATCTCACAAGCCCCATACCTCATAACTGCTTGCTTCCCATTGGCCAGAACTCAGTTACATGATCATGTTTATCAACAGGGAGGATGGGAGATGTAGTCTTTGTTCCTGTGGTTATGGGGGTCAGCAAAAAAACAGAAAAGAAATCAGAGGCTGCCRTGCTAAGAAAGAAGAGGGAGAATTAATTTTGAGGGACAACTAGAAGACTTTGCTACAGGATCATATGTGAGGTCTTGATAAAGTATCTTACCCACCTATAACTTGAGTTCATTTCAGTTTTCTGCATTTCTCAGGCCCAGGCACAAGAAACACAAAGCCATGAAGGCGGCCAACTTGAAGGCCACTCTGTGATTGTCTCCTAACGCCCCCTTGTCATTTCAGCGGAAATCTTAGAATTGGCGGGGAATGCCGCCAGGGACAACAAGAAGGCCCGGATAGCGCCGAGACACATCCTCCTGGCTGTGGCCAATGACGAGGAGCTCAACCAGGTACGTCCGCAGCTCAGACAGCCCCGGGAGGTGGACCCAGCCAGCCAGCCAACCAGGATCTTCCCTGTGACAGTTCGTAACCCCATCTATGCAAAAATAACAAAAAAAAAAAAAAAAATCTCAGACTGGTTAAGAGAAGGAGAAATTCTGCTAACTCTGTCAAAATTCAGTTGCCCCCAGAATAGATCCCATTATATGTTCCAGATCTTGCCAGACTTTCCCCAGTGAGATGAGCCCCACATTGCTGAGAAGGGGCAGCCCAGGTTCCTCTCCAGAGTTTCTTCACCCAAATCATGCTGACGATTTATTCTCTTGAGAACAGGAGACTCCTTAGTTCCATGTTAGAACTGACCCTTTATATTTTGGAACCAGCTCCAAAGTCCGGTGAGCACCCCACCCCCACCTCAGGGTACACAAGGTGGTGGGTAAATGGTAGAATTTTTATATTTGTTTTCCTATCTCATTCTTCTCAAACTACGATGGAGAACCCTTTCCTATTGCCAAGCTGTCACAGACTGATCATTTCAAACTGTGGAATAAAAATGGATTACTAGAGGGGCTGGGGCTGGGGCTCAGTGGTAGAGCGCTTGCCTGGGCTCGATCCGCAGCACCACATAGAAATGAATAAATAAACAAATAAAATGATGTGATGTATAAAAAAAAGGGATTACTAGAAAAGTTTCAAAAAGACCTATGAACTATAAGCCATGAGGGTTCATTATCAGATTTAACAGGTCTACAGTGACCCAGGCAATTTGCTCTAAACATTTCTAGACTCTGACGCCCAAATCCTGTGCCTCTCTTGTCCCAGATGGAGAACTAACAGATCAGAGATGATCCATGGTCTCAGATCATCCTTGATGTCCTGCTGGTTTGGGATACGCAGAATATATGAGTGTAGCAGGGAAATGTCAATTAATTGCAAATAAATAAACCTCTCCGTGGGGAGGAACGTGGCTAAACGCGTTGACTGATGAACGCATGCTGGACAGTGTGCAGACTGGACGGTTGTTATCAGTCTGGTCTTGGTGTTGACCTTTGAACCTCGTCTTGTCCAGCTGGGCTCCTCTGAGGTAAAGCCCTTCATCCTCTGTTGTCCTCTGGAATTCCAGAGCCCTGGGCAGCATCCTGGCTTCAGCGGGCCTGACCCTTTTGTTTTGCTTACTGTATGAGATCCTGGGAGGCCTGGCTACCTGCAGAGAAATGCTCTCCAAGTCAAAGAGGGGAAGCCGGTTCAATACATATCCTGTCATTTCTTCAGGGAAACAAAGACCAGATTTAAGCCTCGTTTTGCCAACAGAACTGTTTTAAATCCAGAACCAGTGAGCCCTTGGCTATATGAGTGCATGCATTTCTCTCTTCAGCTGCTCAAAGGAGTCACCATCGCCAGCGGAGGTGTCCTGCCCAGAATTCACCCGGAACTGCTGGCCAAAAAGCGAGGGACCAAAGGCAAGTCGGAAACTATCCTCTCTCCACCCCCAGAGAAAAGAGGCAGGAAGGCCACGTTGGGCAAGAAGGGAGGCAAGAAGTCCAAGGCCGCCAAGCCACGGACATCCAAAAAGGTGAGCCCAGGGCGCTTCACGGGCCAGTCACTGCCCCTGCGGTGGTTCAGGTGTTGGTGTCCTCCCAACATTCATCTGCAGAAACAGACCCCCCCGAGGGATGGGGTTCAGAGATGAGGCCTCTGGGAGGTGACAGGGTCTTAATTACACAGCCTCATACACGAGATCAGAAGAGCCCGTGGGAGCTGGGCACGGTAGCTCGTGCCTGTAATCCCAGCAGCTCAGGAGGCTGAGGCAGGAGAATCGATAGCTCAAAGCCAGCCTCAGGGGCTGGGGATGTGGCTCAGCGGTAGCGCGCTCGCCTGGCATGCGTGCAGCCCGGGTTCGATCCTCAGCACCACATACCAACAAAGATGTTGTGTCCGCCGAGAACTAAAAAATAAATGTTAAAATTCTCTCTCTCTCTCTCTCTCTCTCTCTCTCTCTCTCTCTCTCTCTCTCTCTCTCTCTCTCTCTCTCTCTCTCTCTCTCTCTTTAAAAAAAAAAAAAAAAAAGCCAGCCTCAGCAACTTAGCAAGGCCCTAAGCAACTCAGCAAGACCCTGTCTCTAAATAAAATACAAAGAAAAATAGGGCTGGGGGTGTGGCTCAGTGGTTGAGCTCCCCTGGGTTCAATCCCCGGTACTAAGAAGAAGAGACCTGAGGGAGCTTGTCCTCTTCTCCACCCTGGGAGGACCCAACAAGAAGGCCTCCTCTGTGTGGAAGGGGCCCTCACCAGACACAGAAACTGCCAGAGCCTTGATCTTGAACTTCCAGTCTCCAGAGCAATAAGAATACATTGTTGTTGTTTATAAGTCACCCAGTCAGGAGTCTTTTGTTATAGCAGCCTGGAGAGACTAAGACAGCCCAGAATGAGAAAGAAGTGTAGGGACAAGATGATGAGGGTGCAATTGGCATCTCCAGAGGTCTGGGGACTCTGTAGCTTGGTGCTTGAGGAAGGAGTAGGTAGAAGAAAGGACCTTTGAGATTAGAGTTCATGTCATCCAACGGGGTTTGCCAGAGATTTCCAACTCCAAGGTGGAGTGGGGGTTGGTTCTCAGACCCCTTTTACAGCCTCACCAAAACTGTAAGTGAGAGACAGCAGCGTGGGGTCCTGCTTCTCATCTCCCCGCAGAGCCCCACTCTGCATGCTGAACAATCCCCGGTCTCCCATGGACACTTCCCTGGGTTGGCAGGTTGCATACCAGATGTCATGGGCAGCTTGCTAACTAAGTGCTTAGCTCGCTGACACCACTTATAGAATGATATTTTCTTTTTTTTTTTTTTTAATTTCTCTTTTTGCGAGAGTGGGGATCGAACACAGGGCCTTGCCTGTGTTAGGCAAGCGCTCTACCTCRAAGCTGAGTCCCCAGCCCTGGAGTAATCAATATTTTCACATGCAGCCCAGTGCAGTAACCACCCGTCACATGCGGCCATTGCAACTTGAATTAAAACTAAACCACATTAAAAATTCAGCACCGGATGCGCTAGCCACATTTCCAGCACTTAATAGCACTCAGCAGCAGAGACAGAGGAGCTCCATCACAGGGACAGCCTAGGACAGCAGGGCTGCTCTAGAGGTGGACTTTTCACTCTGCAGACCTCCCTCATGTAAGAGATCATGCAGGACTTGGTGCCATTACCACTGTCCCCAGGGAAACCCTGGGGAGGGGGTGTTTGAGCAAGGCGCTGGGGACCAGTCACTTGGCTCTGATGTTTGTCATCATAAGCTGCAGGCGTGGAAACCTGCAGGCAGGTGAACGCCTGCAGACAAATGAGGACTCCAGGGACCAGTGAACGCCTTTAATACGCTTTATTTTTTTGCAGACCCTTTTCTTTTCCTCACGTCACAGAACGTCCCTGGCTTTCCTCCATCACAGAACAGCACAGGGCGGGGTGAGCTCAGTGGTGGAGCCTGAGCTTAGCGCACACCAGGCCCTAGGTTTGATCCTCGAATCAAAAGAAAAGCTTCCGGGCGGGCGTGGCAGTGCTCCTGTGCATCCCAGCAATTTGTGAGGCTGAGGCAGGAGGATCCTAAGTGGGAGGCCAGCTTCAGCACCTTAACTAGACCCTGGCTCAAAATTTTTTAAAGTTTTTAAAAAGAACTGGGGGTGTAGCTCAGTGGCACAGCACCCATGGGTTCTGTCCTCCATTCCAGCAAAAAAGAAAACAGCAGAGCGTAACTCCTAGCGACCCCTTTCCCGTGGAGTCGGCAGCCGTCGTCGCAGCCACAWCCGACTTCCTCTGAATTGTTCTCATCCGTCCTTCTGATTTTCTACCCACAGTCCAAACCAAAGGACGGCGACAAAGAAGGAACTTCAAACTCCACCTCGGAAGATGGGCCAGGGGATGGATTCACCATCCTGTCTTCTAAGAGCCTTGTTCTAGGGCAGAAGGTAATAAAGAGAATCGTAATGTGCTGTAGTAAAACACGRTCACACTTTTATAACCTGCTGTTTACAAGCAATGATGCCGCCTTCATCCCTCGMTTCCTTAATGCGACTTCCACTCTAGTCTTGAATTATTCATTTTTAAACTAACGAACTATGGCGGTCTCTGCACCGTGAGAATGAACACAAATATTTTAGTGCTGAGGTTGTCCATGCCRACCTTGGTCAGCCAAAGGTTAATAGAGAGAAGCTTTCTGGTCAGTAGATAGGATGACATGACGTCCCCCAGGTCCCAGATAGTTCTGCACCCACCAAAAAAAATGCATAGCTAACTGCCTCCAACAGCCTCAGAGAGACCTGTCTTCATGGTCTGATGTCATTTATCAGAGAAAGAAAATAGAAATATATGCTTCCTGAATACCCCCGGTGTTCGAAATGAATTATTTGCCAGTAATTCAGTCTGCCTGCCTTCCCTGGCTGCAGAAAGAAAACAAACAGGGTTATACATTTGAACAGTCTCTAGCAACACAGCAGCCGCCCAGTCAGACATGCAAATAAATTCATTCCCACGAGCATCAAGTTTACGGAGCAGACAATTTATCTACCAAGTCGACTGATAACTGAAATAAGACACACGAGGAGAGAGCCGCTTAATCATATCTCTGGCCTCTGAGCTTTCTCGGCCTGCCAGTGGAGTGCACCGCCATCGCAGCAGCTGGGAAAGCTTGTTGAAAGAAGAGCATCAATGTGGCCGGTTCCTAATTCATCTCTGATGAAGCAGAGCAGGAAGCTAAGAGGTGGAATTCATGTCCCCTCCAGGGGTTCTCCCTGGTTACATGAGGATTAGCTTTCTCCCTCTTATCTAGGGGACAGCCAAGTTCTTGCTCACCTAGAGAAACAAAGGAGACTGCCCTTAACTCCCCACCAACGTGGTCCCCAAAAGGCAAGGTGGAGCCAGGCGTGGTGGCACATGCGTGTCCTCCTAGCTGTTCTGGAGACCAAGGCAGGAGGATCGCGAGTTCAAAGCCAGCCTCAGCAAAAGCGAGGCGCTAAGCAACTCAGAGAGACTCTGTCTTTAAATAAAATACAAAATAGGGCTGGGGGTGTGACTCAGTGTTCGAGGGCCCCTGAATTCAATCCCCAGTACAATAAATAAATAAATAAATAGATAGATGGATAGATAGATAGATAGATAGATAGATAGATAGATAGATAGCAAGGTGGCCAGAGGTAGGTTGGAAACCCAGAGCCAAAATCACATCCCTCCTGCAAGATTCTAGGCCTCAGTGCCCTACCCCAAAACTTCAGGGCTGCTCAGGGGGAAATGCCGAACCCTGGGAAGAGAAGGCAAGCCCTGAGCATCTCTCCCTCACAGGAGCTGCTCAGAGGATGTTGCACCCAGAACCAAGGCCGCCAAGGGTGGGAGCCAAAGGCATAAGCAATAAAAGAAAGAAATGAGAAGTTCCATTCTTGTCCCCGAAAGAGAAGGCAGATTTGTTGCATTCTCTAGCCTCAAAGTGAAAAATGCACTGAGCTCACAGGAGCCTCTTCAAACCCAAACACCAGCTGGGCGCAGTGGCGCCATGTCTCAAAATAAAATAAAGTCAAATAAACAGGGCTGGGAATGGAGTTCAGTGGTAGAGTGTCCCTGGGTTCAATCCCCCCAAAATAAAAATAAATGTAAAGAGCATGGTGGCACATGCCTGTAATCCCAGCAACTCAGGAGACTGAGGCAAGAGGATGGCAAGTTCAAGGCTAGCTTGGGCTACTTAGCAAGGTCCTGTCTCCAAATAAAATGAAAAGGGCCTCAAGTGCAGCTCAGGGGTAGAGCACTTGCCTAGCACGCACAAGGCCTTGGGTGCAATCCCCAGCACCATCAGAGAAAAAGAAACCTGGGAAACGTTTGCTCCATGTGCAGTCCTTGTGTCGATGTTCGGTGTGAATTATTGAGAGTGAGTGGGAGATTTTCCATGGGATTTGATCTTTCCCATATTTTCCATCTTTTCTTCCTAACTCAGCTGTCCCTGACCCAGAGTGACATCAGCCATATTGGCTCCATGAGAGTGGAGGGCATTGTCCACCCAACCACAGCCGAAATTGACCTCAAGGAAGATATAGGTAAGGTCCTGAGACTTCAGGAGAGGTGCCATGGGGTGGCACCTGTTCATGCAAGTCCTCATGAAGTCAGCCATTGTCCTCGGGGTCCCCTGTCAAGCTCTGTCTAATGGAACAGCATCACTACAGAGTAACTCAGCCACATATTTTGAGAAATTTATATTGAAGTATAGCCTAGAGACAGATCATTACTGTACAACTTGATGAATTTTTCTCAAAGCAAATACCACCAAGCAACCAGCACCCAGGTCAGGAAGCAGACCCTATAGCACCCAGCGTCTCCCCAGGCCCCTCCCAGCCATCATCTTCTCCAGGGGGAACCACTATCCTGTCTTCTCACACATGGAGGGACTTCATCTCTTGAATTTTATTTAAGTGAATAAAACTACTCACTTAAATAAAAGTGAGCCCGAGTCTGGCTCCTGTAATTGGCAGAGCGTTCGTGGAATCCAGCTGTGCTGCTGAGCGTAGCTGTGTCTGTTCATTTTCTGTGTGGAAGACCCCAATTTATCGATCCATTCTGCCATTGATGGCATCTGAGTAGTTTCCAGATTGGAAATATTCTACATGTTTTGGACAAAACCTCGTGCACTTTTCAAGTGTAAATATTGAGAATGCTCTTGGTAAAAAAGGAAAGAGAGTGCTAGAAAAACTTCAGTGGTCTGTAAGGCCGCGAGCACTTTACCAATCTCCAGCACCAATAAATAAATAAATAAATAAATAAGCAAGCAAGCAAACAACGCCTCCTAGCTCTGTGACCTTAGGCAGTTTTCTTAACTTGGCTAACCCTCAGTTTCCTCATCTGCAATTGAGAATAACAAGAGAACTTGCCTCCAGTCGGTCATACTGTGAAAATTAGGGAGGCATACTTGGGGCTTGGCCAAGAGTGGCGCTCACTGGCATTTGAAAATTGAGAGTCTTTATATTTGCTGCTGTGTTACCAGCAGGCCCACCCATCACCACTCAGTTCTCCACCATGGACCCAAATCAAGCATCCCATGCAGCTAAGACCTTTTTTTTTTTTTAACTGCACTAGGAATTTAACCCAGGGGAGCTCTAACCCAATTTTTAGGTCTATATTGAGACAGGGTCTCACTAAGTAACTGAGGCTGACCTCGATCTTACAATCTTCCTGCCTCAGCCTCCTGAGTTGCTGAGATTATAGGCATGCATTGCCATGCCCAGCACCATGCTTTATTCTTTTAAAATATTATGTTAGAGGCTGCAGGTGTCGTTCAGTGGTAGAGTGTGTGTTTAAGGTCCTAAGTTTGATCCCCAATTCCCTCTGCATGCAAAATAAAATGAGTTATTACAAAAATGTTTAAGAATACACACAAACAGGAAAGTGTAATGCAATAATCAGCTACAAGTGTGATCAAGCATGTTTCAGCTTTCAACCCCTCCACATATTTCCAGACAATATATTATTTTAACTGTGAGTAGTTCGGAATAACCTCTAAAAGATAACCAGTACTGGGCATGTGGCACACGCCTGTAATCCCAGCAGCTCTGGAGGCTGAGGCAGGAGGATCGCAAGTTCAAAGCCAGCCTCAGCATTTAGGGAGGCCCTAAGCAACTCAGTAAGACCCCGTCTCTAAATAAAATATAAAAAAGGGCTGGGGATGTGTCTCAGTGGTTAAGCACCCCTGGCTTCAATCCCCAGTACCAAAAAAAAAATAAAAGATAAGGGCTAATTTTTAATAACATAAGCATAGTACCATTATTACAGCTAAAAACATTAGCTTCATATCAACTATAATGAATGTTGAGATTCCAATTATGTCATGAATATTATTTTTTAAAATTGATTTAGGACCCAAATGAGTCCACAGACTGCAATTGGTTGATAAGTCTTTGAACTCACAGGTTCTCCCTTTATCTGTCTTTTTTATCTCTTGGCAATTTATTTGTTGAGGAAACCAGGCTGTCTGTCCTGGAGGGTCTCACACAATCTGGATTTTTTTGTTTGCATCCTCATTAAACATCTTTTCTTCACTGTGTATTTTCATTGTTTTGTTTTGTTTTTATAAGTTGGTAGTTAGAGCTAAAAGCTTAATGAGATTCAGGTTCAAGAAATTTGGGACTGGTGAAGTGCAGGAGGCCTTGAGTTCAAGTCCCAGAGCCATAAATAATAACTTGAGTAAGACTCCTTGGAAGTCTTCTTTTTGGAACAGGGTGCTCGTTGTCTCTTTTTGCATGACCTTAGCAGTCGTAGATGCCCCTTCCTGGATTGTCCATTTGCCCGCGGTTGCTAAGTGTGGATCCTCTAATTCTAGCGTTCCTTCATTTCTTCATGGGAATGCTTTCCCAGAGTGAAGCTGCCGCTCTGCTTCTCCAGCTGCTTTGTTCTTCAGTGTTTAGTGGACAGGATGCACTCTTCTTGCCTTCTGCACATCTCCACTAGGTCCCCGGCCTGAAGGCAGGGACAGCAGCTTCAATTTCTCTGCTTCTCTGTATGAATTAGCTACCACCTGGGCTACCAGGCTTCCTCAGGGTTCTGGACCCAGCAGATCAATACTGGCTGAGAGTCTGGGAGCCAGAAAGAAGACTCAGAGGTGGTTGGCATAGCCTGCAACCACCATTTCCATGTCATATCATTGAAACCCAAGTATCAGCAGGGTGTGGTGGCGAATGCCTCCAATCCCAGGGACTCAGGAGGCTGAGGCAGGAGGACTGCGAGTTCCAGGCCAGCCTCAGCAATTTAGTGAGGCCCTAAGCAACTTAGTAAGACCCTGTCTCAAAATAAAAAAACAAAAAGGACTGAGGATGTAACCCAGGAGTAAAGGTTCCCTGGGTTCAATTCCCAGTACCAAAAAAAAAAAGAGTAGAAACCCAAGCACCTGGCTGAGGAGCAAAGCAGAGGAGGGAGGCAGCAGGGAGATCCGAGTTCAGCAGCCGCAGCCCGAGCCCGAGGTTCCCGTATGCACCATGGTTTCACACAAGTGCCCCGCTGGCTAGAGGAAGATGCCAAGAGAGTGACCAGCAACTACTTAGGACTCACCCACAGCAGACGCAGCTGTGGCTAAGTGTAGCCAGGAGCTAGTTCGGGTGTAGCCTGATCTTGTTCAACCACGGTTGCTAGCTCCACTGTCCGTTGGGCCCCAGTAGCGCTCACAGTTAGTGCTGCCCAGGAACCCGCAGCCACCATGGCTGCAGTGGCCCGGCCCAGTCCTACAACAGCTGCTGCTCGCGGAGCCTTCCCCATGGCACACACGGCACCTACTCTGACTGCACCCACCACCACCCCCAGCAACTACACAAAACTACCAGGACTTGTATGTAGAGCCACAGCTCCTGGCGGGGTGCCATGGTGCACGTCTGTAATCAGAGCAGCTTGGGAGGCTGAGGCAGGAGGATTGCCAGTTCAAAGCCAGCCTCAGCAACTGAGCAAGGACATAACCAAGGTAGTGAGACCCTGTCTCTAAAAAATAAAAAAGGGATGGGGATGTGGCTCAGTGGTTTAATGCCCCAGGGTTCAACAATTCCTGGTACAAAAAAGGATCCACAGCTCCTGTTGTGACTTACAGCAGTAAGCCATTCAACCAACAGCCAACAAGATCGCTGCTGCTGGGGCTGCTGCAGCCCAGCCTCTACTGTCTGTTTGTGAAACCTACTGTCACACAGGCCCCAGAGCAGCTGAGAGCCAAGGCACAAGTCAGTATACTCAAGTCCAGGAAAAAGGAAACCAGCACCTTCATGAAGCCCCCCCCAGCCCCATGGACAGTGACTGCTGGAATAGACATTTGTCCTCAATAAGAATGTGCACAAAGTATTGTCGCTCTCCAAAGACACTTGAGTGTCTTGAGTGTAGAAAGCCTATCCCTGAGGCCCGAGGGCAGCCTCTGAACAGATGAGGATGGTGGTGGTGGTGGTGGTGAGTGGTCCTTATCCAAAATGTTTGGAACCAAATGTGTTTCAGATATTTTTTTGTTTTTTATTTGTTTGTTTGTTTGTTTGTTTTGTGGTGCTGGGGATTGGACCCAGGGCCTTGTGCAAGGCAAGCACTCTACCAACTGAGCTATCGCCCCAGCCTGGGTTTCAGACTTTTTTATGTTTTCAGATTTTGGAATATTTTCACATACACAAGATATCTTGTAGAGGCGACCCAAGTTTAGATACAAAACTCATTTAGATTTCATATACGCCTCATACACATGACCTAAAAGTGATTGTACACAGTATTTTCAGTGCCCTTGAGTTTTGACGGTGACCCAACCAAGTGTGGTTTTCGGTGTGGTGTCAGGTGGATGCTCAAAGACTTCTGGATTCTGAAGCCATTTGGATTGGGGATTTTCATATTAGGAATGCTCAATCCATAATGATAACTAATAAAGAGAGATCCGAGACTCGCCCCAGACGGCCAGATCGCCACATTCACTAGAAGACGGGACGGTCTGAGGGCAAACATCTTGTCTCCCGTGGAGAACAGCCGTCACCCTAGTCCCAACACCCATGTCATCTCAGACATGAGAGCGTGGGGAGAGGTGCTGGGTCCCCTGGTGCACTCAGGTGGGATTTCTGCTCGACCAGGACAGCAGAGTCCTGCTGTCTCTTTGGGGCCCCTCTTGACCTCTGTAGAGGCCAGACCCGGAGATATTGCAGAACTTGCCCTAACAGCAGTGCCTGGGGAGATGTCCCCACAGGAAGTCCGTGGAGAGGAGCCTCTCAAATCTCTGCCTGTTTCCATTGCAAATCAAGGCCTCAGTTGGAAGAACAAGATACTAGGCTGCCCTGGGCCTGTGTCTGTCCTCTGACCCGAGGACTTACAACTTGCTGCTGACAAGAGCAAGCCGACAGAGTTCCATGTGGCTGCTGAACCTGTAGAACAGAATACTGGCATCGTGGCCAAAACAAACAATGAAATAAGTCATCTCCAGGACTGGAAATCACCCCTTAAAAGGTCCTTTAAAGTAGCTTGCTAACCAGCTGGATACGGGGGCACATGCCATAATCACAGCAACTTGGGAGGCTCAGGTGGGAGGATTACAAGTTCCAGGCCAGCCTCAGCCACTTAGCAAGACCTTGTATCAAAATTAAAAATGAAAAGTCTGGAGATGTGGCTCAGTGAGAGTGCATCCCTGGGTCCAATCCCCAACACCAGTACTGGAGAAAAAAAGAGAGAGAGGGAGACTTGCTAACCTAAATCTGTTACACCAGAGGCCCAGAGACCCCTAGACCAGCAATCACTGGCAGACCAGGATGACAGCTGGGAAGTGAGAGTCCTAGTGTCTAAGGATGCCCTCCCCCAGGCCTCCTGAGACTCTGTCTACCCTGGGATTATGTTGAAAACACACCACGTGGCTTCCCCCTGTTCTCCTTTGCAGGTAAAGCCCTGGAAAAGGCCGGGGGCAAAGAGTTCTTGGAAACAGTGAAGGAGCTGCGCAAATCCCAGGGCCCTCTGGAAGTGGCTGAAGGTAAGCATAGACCGGGCTCCGCGACCCAGCACAGCCCCACCCTGTCCCCACCAGTCTCTGGCCGCGCTCACAGGGATCCAGTGTCTGCAATAAAATATGCCCTAACTATCCTGAAGCTATTTCAGCATCTCGATGATTGGAGCAGCCCCTGGAGGTCATTCCATAGGCTCTGGGGTCTACAAGTGTCTGGATCGTTCATGTTCACGTACATTTCTCAGATCCCCCACAATGATCTCGAGCCATTGTGTTGATTTTGTATATGTGCAGTAAGATACACAGGGCTTAAGTCTCGCCATTGCAACCATTTTTTTTTTAATTTTTTTGTAGTTGTAGATGGACAGCATGTCTTTATCTTATTTGTTTATTTTTATGTGGTGCTAAGGATCAAACTCAGTGCCTCATATGTGCCAGGCAAGCGCTGTGCCACTGAGCTACAGCCCCAGCCCCATTGTAACCATTTTTCAGTAGCATTAAGTCTTTCACAATGTTGCAGCCATCACCATGACCTAGTTCCACAGCRTTTTGATCACCTTGAACAGAAGCCCCCTCCCCATTGAGCTGCCCCCCCACCTGCCTTCCCCAGGCCCTGGCATCCACTCATCTACTTTCTGCCTCTACCCATTTGCCCACTCTGGACCTTTCACGTAAATGGAATCATATAGCGATGGATGGCCCTTTGTGTCTGGCTTCTTTCACTTAACATGGGATTTTTTTAATATTTATTTTTCAGTTGTAGGTGGACACAATCCCTTTATTTCATTAATTTTTATGTGGTGCCAAGGATGGAACCCAGGGCCTCACTCATGCTAGGCGAGCGCTCTACCGCTGAGCCACACCCCAGCCCTGCACATGGTACTTTTGAATCCAACCCGTGTGGCAGCATGTGTCAGTTCTTCTCTCCCTTTTATGGCCAAATGGTATTCCACTTTGTTTATTCACTCAACCGTGGATGGGTGTCTGGGTTGTTTCCAACTTTGGCAACTGTGAATGGAGCCCCTGTGCACATCTGTGCATAGGTTTTTGTTGTTGTCATGGCTACTGGTAAGTGATTCCCTTTCAGAGCCATGTTCCCACCACACCATCCCAGGCCACTCCCTCTCTGTGCTGCACTCATACTACGACAGCCCAGGACAGCGAAACCTCCTGCTGTCCCCAGTCACAATAAACGGGCACCAAGAGGGAGCCCTTGGGGGCGGAGGTACAGCCCACTGGGGAACTGTGGCCGTGGACATGAGCAGGCAGGGGGGAGAGAACAGCAGCCACAGGTGAGCTGCGCCTTTGGRGCTGTGTGACGGGGTTTGGATCTGACTCTATCTGGACCAGAAAGGCCACCTTGAAGTTAAGGCAGGGGACTGTCATGATCAGACTAGATTGTTAGAAAAATAATGGGAGCTGCCAGTCAGGAAAGAACACGGGTCCACACTTTAGAGCTGGTACACGCCCCTCCCCAGACATGCCATGGTGGGCCAGATTTCCTTTTTAAATTTTTTAAATCTTTTAAATCAGCCACCCTCAAATGTAAGATCGGCATGTGTGTAGCTGGAAGTAGAAGACGTGCAGCAGCAACAGGGGAGTTGCAGCCCAGGCCACTGGGATGCAGGACAGGGACTATGCAGAGCCACTAGGCTGCTCTTGCTTATAAAGGGCTGCAGTCGCTGGTGGAAGGAGCAGGGCCAGGCTCGCTGCTCACAGCAAGGGGCTGGAGAGAACTCCTTGGCCTTTCTGAAGGCAAAGCTCTGAAAACCCCCCAGGGCTATGGCTTGGGTAACACTGGACTTTCTAGGGTAGAAGAAGGATCTGATCCCCTCACCCAGGCCCAAGGCCACATTGCTCACTGACCTCAGATTCTGGAGGACCCTCATCCCCATGACCTTGAGACAGAACCCAGATCAGCCATTTAAGAACTGCACCTGGTCTGGGGGCTTGGGTCTGGGGGAGGCTCCCAGCCAATTGCCTGACGGGGTGAGGAGGACAGAAAATAGCTGCTCTCCACAGAATAAGGGTGCTGGTGCATTTCTCAACAGAGTCCCAGAGGTAGAAAACAGAGGTGTAGAAGCAGTATTTTAAAAGATCATAGCTGGGAATTTTCTAGAATTAAACATGAGCCCTGGGGTTGGAAATATCAGGCATTATAAATGAAAATAGATCTCAAACCTGACCCATGATCATGAAGGATCAAAGGTTCAAAACCCAAGAGAAACCTCCAAGGCAACCCAAGAGAAGAGGTAGATCATCCGTAAAGAAATGAGAAGTCTGATGGCTACAGACACCTCATCAGCAACCCGAAACTGGAAACAGGAAAGAAATGTCTTCAAAGCACTGAAGGGAAACACGCCCACCAAGAATTCCACTGTGCTGTTTTTCATTCAAGAGTGAGGGTGAGGGGCTGGGGCTGTAGCTCAGTGGTAGAGTGCTTGCCTGGAAATATATATATATATAATTGCACATATGGTGTGACGCTACATTGTGTACAACCAGAGAAATGAAAAGTTGTGCTGCAATTGTGTACAATGAATCAAAATGTATTCTGCTATATATATATAAAATGTGCACAATTTCAAACATGCAAAAGTTGAGAGGCAGCAATTCAGACCCTTCTGGAAGGAACCAGAAGTCAATCAGAAGTAAGTAGAAGGTTGCAGGAAACAGTTGTGATTTGGCACAAATATGTTGGGTCTAAGTATGTGTAGTCTGAGGCCAATCAGGGCTAGAAAGAACACCAATCAGGGCTAGAGTCCACCCTTTAAAGTTGGTACACGCCCTGGGAAGAAGAGAAAAGGGGAGACGATCCTTTAGAATATGCCTACATCGTATTTCATTTAATTTCAAGACACCATCGGTTTTAATATATGCTTTATTGTTTGGGCCACTAAGATTAAATTTCATGAGTGGGCTAATAGGAGACCCCGCATGAGGCTGGGACATTCAGATTAAGAGCATGGTGACCCACCCTGCAGAAAGGACAGCAAGTACGTGTCTTGACTTTGGTGTTGGGAGGAAAGGCCTCTTGCTGGCGAACCTGAACTGCAGGCCAGTACTTCTGCAGGTTTACAGCCAAGTCCAGTGCTGCCCAAAACCTCAGGCGGAGAAGACATTGGCATGTGACCTCTGTTTGGTAGTGTCCCCAAGTGATGTAGAAGGAAATACAACTTTTCCTCTGAAAGAACTCAGCTTCAATCTTGGCTGACAGCAACTGTAAGATGCATCCTGATTTAAAAAAAAAATTTAAAAAGTAAAAGGATATTAAATGGCCTGGGGGTGTGGCTCAGTGGCAGAATGCCCACCTAGCGTGCACAGAGCCCTAGGTTCAGTCCCAGCACCACCACAACAAAAAAGATGATAATGATTTTAAGTGCATCTTGGGGTGGGCAAAGCAGACCAAATACAGTGCAGGTCCCGGTGCACAGGGTGTGGAGAGGGTGCATCAGGAAATATTTTAGGAGCAGCACCAGTGAGGGATAGCACCAGATAGCGGCTTAGTCGGAAGGAGATGCCGAATGAGGAAATGCCACATGCTGCCTGGGAAGTGACAGAGGCTGTGTGGTAAACACATCCATGAATTTGTCGTAGGGGTCAGAGCCAGTTTGTGCACGCTGTAGGGTGGGAGCACGGGATGTGGTGGTGAATGAGGCCCCTGAACATTCCTCTGGGAACTTGACGAGTGAACGATAATTTTGCTGGACACGCACTGGGCCTGGGGCACCAGAAAGGTCACCAGTGTGCAGGGTGCTATTGAAAGCTGAGGGGGCGATGGGGCTGCAGATGGTTGCTTAGCAGCCAGGGCTGAACGCCTCCTGCAGCAGGGAAGAGCACTGGACCCCTCAGGTAGGAAGAACAGTGGTTGCTCTGGGGAACTGAAGCTCCGTGGTGTCATGGTGACCAGGGATCAATGGTAGCTCTCCAGCAGGACAAGAGGCCACCCTGGGGTCCCTTTTTTGCTATGGTGATGCCTAAGAACATGTCAGGTCTTCCACACTGTGAGGATCACCTGAGGGAAGGTTCTAGAAGCTTCTAGCGGCAGCATGTCATCCTCAGAATGCACCTAGTAGGTGAAAGAGTTCCACCAGGGGACATCACATCAGATCACAGATGGCTGTGAGCCATTTGGTTAGCAGTGCTAGTCGGTGCTTATAACGAATACCTCCCAACAGCCTGACCCCTGTCCTTGGCACCTCCAGAGAGCATCACAAACCACAGCAGCTGCGAGCCACATTTCCCATCTCCGGTTGCCATGGAGATGCTTTGCTTTGGATGGAAGTGTTATCAGGGGCTACCTCGAAAATCATTTTCTTCCTTGGTTGGATGTTTCACACCGCCAGTAAACGCATTCCTCTTGTCTGAAAATGACTTTAGATTCAAAAGAATATCATTCAGCTGATAACATGACTATCATTTAACATATATATATATAAAATAAATCAGCCGTGGGTGTGAAGAACCAGCTTCTCCAGCACGTGAGATCAGTGAGAGCCTTGGAAAAATTGCCCCTATCAGGGCAAACCCCGGGTCCCAGGTTCTCTGCAGGACAGTCCCAGGTTCCGGGTTCCAGGGCTCATCGTCCAGGCCCCACAGCCACATTCCGCATCTGTGTACAGATCCACAAGGCCGCAGGGTCAGTCCTGGAGCTGTGAGGCCCCCTGTTCACGCGTCTTGCATGGACTGGCTCATCCCTGTCTGATTGTCTTTAGACCCACTCAGCGCTGGGAAGGCGAGGAGCTCACAGCCCTTCCTCCCTGACTCAGGTTCCAGCAGCTTAGTCCCCACCCATCCAAGCACGTCACAGCACCTCTGACACCGTTGTGTCCCACAGACTAGGTGGGCATTGTAAATTTCAAATAGATCTTCCAAGCCAACCCCCTACACAGCTCCAGAGCCTGGCAGACACAGGCATGTCACCCACACTGCCCTAGTGGCCATGACTTCCCCAGAGCGCCAAGGCTCCCAGGCCCTGGCCACTTGAACAGCACAGAGCCCAGCTCCACCAGGCAGGTGGCTTAGGAACAAGCAGCCTGGGGGCAGGGGATGGACAGTCACAGGGACTTCCCTGAAACTCAGCAGCCGCAGCGCTTATCAGCTCTGTCACCAACGGGAGCCATGTCCAGGGGGGTAGAAAAGAAGGCAAAGAAGAACAGGACCAGGCTGGCATCATGGAAATTTGAAACTGTGGGGCCAGGCTGCATGGTTCACTTTGAACCCCTGCTGTTGGCAGGATACATGGAAATGATCAGGTACATGACTGTCCAAGGAAATCTATGACCAAGTGAGGTGGTTCTCAGCTCAGGGAGGGCCCTAGAATCCCAAGAGCATGGCACCAGCCTACACCAGACCAAGTCAGGATCTCTGAGGGGGCTGGGCTCAGAAACAGCTGTTTTTAAAGTTAAGCCAGGGTGTCTTGTTCCTATGAGTGCCCCCACAAAGTACCACAGACTCGGTGGCTTCAAACATGACTCTGTTCTTCAAGTTGGGAGGTCAGCAGTCTGCAGCAGTCTCTGTCTAAGGGCTTAGATGAAGGTGTCACAAGACGGGTTCCTTCGGAAGGTGCCTGGGAGAAGCCTTGGCCTTTCCTGGCTTCAGGCCTTGGCCCCTGGACAGGGCTCCCCGGTCTCTGTTTCTGTCACCACCCTGCTGGGAAAGTCATCCGGTCAGGTTCCCTTCCACTTCCTGGTCCCCTCACCACTTTGGGCCTTCCAGCCTCCCTCTCACAGAACCCATAGGACTTCATTTCAGGGCCCAGCCAGATAACCCAGGAGAACCTCCCGTTTGGTCACATCTGAAAATTCTCACTGGCCATGTCAGGTCACATCCACAGGTCCCAGAGGTCAGGGGTGGGTGTGGTGGGGAGTCCAGTACTCAACCCACCACAACACGGGAGACTGGGTGGGTGTGATCCTGTGACTTCAGCCACTGTGGGCAGGTGCCTGCTCCGGGCCTGGCTGTCAGCATTGAGGCTTTCCCCTGAAGCTCCTGCTGACCATCCAGGGCAATCCCAACAGCTCCCGCTGGGAAGCAGGGAATGCCATCCGGTCAGCTTCCCTTCCACTTCCTGGTCCCCCGACCCCACCCCACCCCACCCCACCCGCGGACCTGACATGTAGACGCGATGTGTGGCCTAACTCCCAGCTGAAGGCAAGACTTAGGAAATGACCTGCAGCGTTCCTCTCTCCCTGTCCCAGCCGCTGTCAGCCAATCCAGTGGACTTGCAGCCAAATTTGTCATCCACTGTCACATCCCCCAGTGGGGCTCGGACAAATGCGAAGAACAGCTTGAAGAGACCATCAAAAACTGCCTGTCAGCAGCCGAGGACAAGAAGCTAAAGTCCGTCGCCTTCCCACCCTTCCCCAGTGGCAGGTAGGAGGCTTCCTGTGGAGTTGGTTTCTCCAGGCTTTTCGCTGGGAACCAGTGGCTGTTCCACTCACACGTGGTCTTCCATTCCAGAAGATGCAGCCAGGGCTCGCCAGCACGGTCAGCAGGTAGCCAGGCAGAAAAGTAAGGGACCAGCTTCCCACCTCCAAACACAGGGAGAGACGGGCCCCCTGGTGGGCCAAGAGGCTGCTGTCCATGGCTGGGGCCAGCCCCTGCCTCCTGATGTCCAAACCCAGGCAGAAAAGTGGCTGTAGGGAACATACTGTGGCAGAGCAAGGTGGCATGTCAATTTCTGAGAGCCTGCTGTGTTCAAAGCCCACATCCCCATCAGCTACCCATGTTCTAGAACGCACGATTAGAAAACACCAGGCTTGAGTCGGGCACAGTGGTCCATGCCTCCACTCCAGCTGCTCGGGAACCGGGGGGCAGGGGGATCACAGGGCTGGGCAACTGCGGACCCGTGTTGTAGTCAGATTTTTGGCAGCGGCTGCTGTGACCAAAAGACCTGACGAGAACAGTTTTAGAGGAGGAAGAGTTTCTTTTGGTTGCCGCAACACGTGACTAAATCAGCCAGGGTCACTCCAGGTGAATTGGGCTGGCTACTAAATAATCACACAGACACAGAAAGTACCTTTTTTCTTGGGGCTCAGCAACAACGGCTCCTCGGCCCCAGCTCCCACAAGGAAGCAAGAGAGGCAGACAGAGGGAGCGCGCCTGAAGCCCTGTGTATTGAGGGGAGCCTTTCAATAGAACCTTCCATCCACAAAAGGTAAGGGGTGGTACGACAGAGGAACCAGAAGGCTGCCCACTCCCAGGGGGTCACCCCGTGGCCTCACTCCCCTGCTGAGCGGAGATGGGGATCCATCTGCTTCCAGGCAGAGGCAGCTAGCCTCCACATTTCCATCACTCAAGGCTAGGGGGCGCTCAGCTCCTGGGTGGCAGCTCCCGACATTGGGCGCTCACAGTTTCAGAGATCTTGGTCCACGGACAGAAGGCTCCATGGCTCTGGGCCCAAGGTGAGGCCAATCATCAAGTGGATAGGTATGGCAGAGAAAATTGGTTCAGGTCATGGAACCAGGAAGGAGAGAGAGAGAGAGAGAGAGAGAGAGAGAGAGAGAGAGAGAGAGATCCCCTTACCATGGACAAAAATACAAAACCTAAAGACACGTCCTCAGACCCACCTCCTCAGCCACACCTACCTGCCTACGGTTACCGCTCAGTTGATTCAGCGGATTAACGCACTGGTTAAGGCTCTCCTAACCCAGTCATTTCACCTCTAAACTTTCTTGCGTTGTCTCCCACATGAGCTTTGGGGGGTACCTCATACCTGAGCCACAGCACCCTGGGGGATGTAGCTCAGTGGTTCAATCCCCAGAGGGAGGGAGGAAAGGAAAGAAGGAGAAAAGAAAGGAATGGAAAGGGGAACGAAGGAGGGGGGACGGGGACATCAGACTTGAAGGCCTGGCTACTCCAGTGTGGTCTGTGGAACAGAGGCGGGGACATCTCCTGGTTAGAATGTGGAACCTCGCCCCCACCCCACATGTCCCGCTGTGGGACTCCTCTGCTGCCCGGGGTCACAGCAGACCCAGGACAAGAGGTAGGGTAGACACTCCCAGAGCTGTGAAAGGTGTCACCGAGGGGCGGAGGCTGGGCTCTGTCACCTAGGCAGGCACATCACTGGAAGAAGAGAGAGCGGAGAGGCCTAGGTCCCCTCTGTAACTGTATCTCCAGCACAGCCCCCGCTCTGGCCCTCCCCAGTCCAGGCCGAGGCACTACCGGCTGCATGGTCTCTAAGTGGGCCATAGGCAGCGTGTTCCTCAACAGAATGCACACACACCCACACGCACATGCACAAGAATCCACATGGAGCAGGCCCATCCTGGACCTGTGCCAGGGGTCATTGGTGGCTGACCCCAAGTAACCATTATGGCTGTATCTCATGAGGCCAGTGGACAGCACTCTCGATGGCTCCCTGGTGCTTGGGACTCTTAGCAAACTTCCACCGGCCCAGTCCTGCCCAGAACCACTGCCGAAATCACACCAGCACGTCCAAGAGCTCATGAGAAACAGTGAGGGCGTGGAAAGGAATTTTTGAAGACAAGCTAGTAAGAGTGCATTTTTGCTCTTATTAAACAATCTGTTTAGTATTGAAACCAATTTTGAGGAAGCTAATAAAACCTATGTTTGCTTTTATGAAGGCCAGGTATTTTAATGCAGAACTGCTAGATTTTGTTTGTTTGTTTGTTTGTTTGTTTGTTTGTTTGTTTTGTACCAAGGATTGAACCCAGGAGAACTTAACCACTGGGTCACATCTCCAGCCCTTTTTAACTTTTTATTTAGACACAGGGTCTCGCTAAGTTGCGTAGGGCCTCACTAAGTTGCTGAGACTGGTTTTGAACTTGCAATCCTCCTGCCTCGGTCTCCCGAGCTGCTGGGATTACAGATGTGTGCCACCGTGCCCAGCTGAATTACTAGAAATTTTTAAGCCAAGTTCTACCTGATTCAGGCAATACAGCTTCAAAAACAAGGCAATCTCACCTGGCAGCCCTATGATGTTGGCCAAAATCATACCCGTCAGCGTGGGATCTATAAAGTGAGGACGAAGTCTCCCACCAACCCCTCCAAATGACCCTTTGACTAGGTCAGAAGTGACTATGCACAGTGATGCCCCACTCAGTACAAACAAGAGCCCAAGGCCAAAATCAGAAGGAACCCAGGGCTTTGCCCTCCCAGGCTGAGGGAAGAGTTAGGACCCTGGATCTGGGGACCAAAATGACGTGGGCTCTCCTTTTGCCTTGGTACAGAAACTGCTTTCCCAAACAGACGGCCGCCCAGGTGACCCTGAAGGCCATTTCAGCCCACTTCGACGACTCCAGCGCGAGTTCCCTGAAGAACGTGTACTTCCTGCTCTTTGACAGCGAGAGCATCGGCATCTATGTGCAGGAGATGGCCAAGCTGGACGCCAAGTAGCCGCTGTCCAGCAGGGATCGGAGGAAGAGCCACGTCATGAGAGTGGGGTTTTATTTTTGAAAAGGAGAGAGGAAGGGTGATGCAGGGGAGCAGAGGGCAGCTGAGAGGGCAGCAGGGAGCAGGTCCTGCCACCGAGGGACCCTCTGCATTTTATATTCTCCTTACAAAGGGCCTCGGTCCGTATTTAACCAGGTCTCCACCAGGGTTTCTTCCCATGTGTTTTCTTCCTGTTGTTTTAGAACTTTTTTTAAAAAAAAAAACACAGACCTCATTTTAGATTTATAGCATTGACTTTTACACACACTCACACACACAAAAAAAAAATCCTTTTAAGATTCTTAAAAATCTTTTGTTCCTCCTTTATCCAAGGGAAGAGGGCTTGAGAGTCAGCTGGGCTTGCTGGCGCATCCGTGGTGGAGAGAAGATGGGGACGACATCGCTCTGGTGCTTTTCTCTTCTGGTCTAGTGCCCCTCCCCCCTTCCCCTATGACATCTGTACCGACTCCTCAAAAGTTCTTTGCTTTGGGCTTTTTGTTTGTTGGTTTCATTTCATTTTTTTAAAGAAAAGGAAAAGAAAAAAATAAAAGATCCAGTGTCTTTCTTATAACATATTCTTTTATTGCAATATTTTCCTCTATTTGGAAAACTGGGTCCCCATGAACGGATACCTCTAGAATGTTCTAATAGATAGAACAAGGCCTGTCACTGACTGGCGGAGATGCCCACCCTGCTAGGTGATGTCCGTGGCCTGTGTGGTCAGGTGGCGGTCCTGCCTCTGGGAAGGAGGAGCCCACTGGCGGTGACAAAGCCACAGGAGGGGTCACCAACCTCCGGGAAGCAGGATGTCTCACTCAGGCCTTGGCAACAACGTGGAACAGACGGCAGGGCATAGCCCAAACGTGGGATGGGCTGAGAGCCCAAGTGAGTCTGGTGGCCCCAGCACTCTGCCCCAGTCCCCAGAGGCCACCATCAAAGATGAGCAGGGAGGGGGAGGGTAGGGAGAGTCGGCCTGAATTTATTCATGTGAACTCATGGAGATTTAACCTAGGGGATCCAAAATAGACTCTTCCACGTTGGAATCTCTCTCCCAAATACAAGAGTCTAAATTTTAGACACTTCGGCTCTAAGCTGGCCCTGAAGACGAGTGCCCGGGGTTGTCCAGGAAACCAGAAGCACAAACCTCAAGGACCCCTTCTCACCCCCAGGAGCTGCCAGTCGACAGTAGCCTGGAAATATATCAGRAAGCCCCGGCAGAACCCCCTTCTGCCCCCTGAAGGGTAACAGATGTACCCTACCATCAAATTCTGCTGTCTTTCCTTACCCACCTCCAGAAGCTGGCAAGCCTGGCTTCAGACCCTGCCCGCTCTGTAAAAACTCACTGTCGGGAGGGTTAACAGAAGGGGTACTCTGTCTTTGTTCTTAAATGCACCTATGGTATGTAGTCACGATGATCTTGAGATCACAAAGCTTCAGGGGAATTAAGGCCTTTAGGGACTAGCCACCTACACCGACATGCACCTGTCATCCCTGTACTCAGGAGGCAGAGGAAGAGGATCACTTGGGCCCAGGAGTCGGACACCAACCTGGCCACCAGAGTGAGACCCCTTCTAAAAAGACACCACAAACCAATCCAAAATATAGGCACCAACCATAAAAGGGAGTTTAAAATGAGGCTCCTGATGGTTGTGGGATGTAGMGGCTTCACCACCCCCAAGTGATGGAAAAGGTTTGGGGTGCAAGCCATCTCCCCACCCCAGGGCCTCTTCTGTGGCTGGTCTCAATTTGCAGGTTCTCCTTCCTGTTCTCACAGATGGCCACCAGGCTCCAGGAGCCAGCTCTCTGCACCACCCTGAGAGCTCTGAACACCACACCAAGCCCACAGGTGCGTGCACACACACACACACACACACACACACCACACCAAGCCCACAGGTGCACACACACACACACACCACACCAAGCCCACAGGTGCACACACACACACACACCCCACACCAAGCCCACAGGTGTGCGCACACACACACACACACACCCCACACCAAGCCCACAGGTGCGCGCGCACACACACACACACACACACACCCCACACCAAGCCCACAGGCACGGGCACACACATGTCCCAGAGGAACCCGACACTCCCCCCGCCCAGGCCCTCCAGCCAGTGCTGCTGCAAGCAGACCGTCCGAGCCCAGAAGGAATCCTCTAGGACACGTCTTTTTAATGCCCCCCTCGCGTTTGGTTTTACATGCGTCATGCATCCAGACAGTACACCACTGGCATCTCATTCCACAGGAAGAGCCTTGTGCTTTGGCACTTGTCAGCCGGRTGCTTTTTGTCCAGAGGCCCGTCATCATCGGCAGTAGTGACACGTCTGCCACTTGGCCTTCCCATCAGGGTGGGGACTGCCTCATGGTTTTCCAGCTCGTGGAGACAAACAGGTCCCTGCTCTTGGCCAGCCGCACCATGAGCCGACCGACGTAGAAGCCACTGATCTGGCCCACGCCATCGTTTCTGCCCATGGACAGGAGGAACGTCAGCGCACCTGGGGAGCACACACACAAAGCAGAGCCACTAAAGGTCATGGGCCGCAACTCCCAGGGCACACCCCCTCCTGGGCCTTCCGACTCAGGGCAGGAAGGGGGGTACGATTTTGGAAAGGCAGGGGAGTCCCCAGCTTATTTTTCAAAAGCTTGAGAAGGCTGTCTCTGTCATCAGTTTCGAGGGTGCGGTCTAGAGGCCAGCCTTCGTACAGCACTAGAAGTCTTCCCTGTCTAACCCCAAACCCTCAACACCAGGAGGCCCCTGAGCTTCCCCCACCTGGCTTGTAGGCCTTGAGGGGCCTCTGCTTCATGGAGTTGACGAGGTTGGTGACAGCGACGTTGGCATGGAGGCCTGCGTGGTAGGCCATCTTGGGCTCCTTCACGTCAGCACAGTCGCCAATGGCATAGAYGTTGCTGTAGCCCTCCACCTGGAGGAACTCATTCACTCTCAGAGCACCGTTGCTGGCCAGCCTGCTCTCTGTGGGCAAGAGGACACCMAAACCAAGTCCTGAGCTGCTGCACTAAGCAGCCACCAGACACGGGGGATGAGGACTGGGTGCTAGTTCAGTGGCCCCCAAGGTGCGTGCTCAGAGGCCCATCCTCCACCCTCAGAGTTCCTGCTGCRGTCCCCACCTTGGGCCCCTCCTGCAAAGATAAGTTCACAGCTCCAGGGCGGAGACTGTCAAAACCCCAGCAAGCCGCCTTCTCCAAAATGCATGGGACTCTAACTCCTGATACACTGCAATGGCTAGCCAAGCTTTAAATTTCCTTTTGAACATAGATCGGGAATTTTAAAATAAATGCAAGGTTTTAATAATTGATAAACTGAGCCAGGCATGGTGGCACCTGTCTATAATCCCTGTTGCTCAGGAAGCTGAGGGAGGGGCGAATGGCAGGCTCCAGGCCAGACTGGGCAACTTAGAAGGACCCTGTCTCAAAATAAAAAAAGGGCTGGGGATGTAGCTCAGTGATAGAGTRTCCGGGGTTCCATCCCCAGAACCATAAAAAATAAAATAAATGATAAACCACTTTAAACAGTTTTTCTTTTTTAACAGATGAAGAGAAATTTTCTTTGACAATACAGTAGGACACCCGCCCGGGCGTGCTTCCTCTGGAGTTGAATCATCCCTCCTGCTGGGCACAGGAGCTCCTTGACAGGGAAGGATGCTCAGAAGTAAATGCTGGCACCCGGAGTCCCACTGCGTCCACACTGACCCCTGGAGGCCTAAACACGTCAGTTCCTCCCCCGCCCCCACTTCCAGGTAACTCAACAGCTAAACACTGACTTGTAAGAAAAGAAGGCACAGCCAGCAGCGCACACACCTAGAATCCCAGTGCTCTCAAGGCTGAGGCAGGAGGGTCGCCAGTTCAGAGGCAGCCTCAGCAGCCTAGCAAGGACCTAAGCAACTCAGAGAGACCCTGTCTCTAAATAAAAAAATAAAAAGGGCTAGGGATGTGGCTCAGTACCCAAAACAAGAAATGAGGGTATGTTATGGCCCGACTCCCCAAAGCCATTAGGAGCTGAGGTAGTCAAATGTTCAGATTTGGATGTGGAGAAAASAGGGACTGTGAACAGAGAAAGGCCTGACCCGGAACTTCTCCCACATCCCTATAAAAATAGCAAGAAATGGGTCTTTCTCGYCTCTCAGAAGCCTGTTCCTATCTCTTACCACTAGGGGACAGTCCCGATGCTAGAAGATTCTGGTCTCCTAACCTAGATCCATAGAGGTCACCATTCAGAAGAAAGCAAGTGGGCAGCTAGGAAACGGACAGGGGCGCTGGCTCAGGGGCACGGACTACAGGGCACTGCAAAGAATGCTGGAGACGGAGGCGGTGGCCCGGGTCACCTGCTTACCAAATGCACTAGAGTAGGCAGAACTGTTGATCTTGATGCCATTGCAGGGAATCACCAGGTTGGTGGCCACCTCCGTGCCCTTGTCTGTCTGCACTTTGATGTACTCGCGATACTCGTTGAGAGGAATTTCCTCCAGGTTGCTCACCCGCTCACCTGCATGGGAGGGGAGGGTGGTCCCATGACCAGGAGGTGGGCAGAGGCTGGCAGAGGCTGGGGCCCRTGCCAAGGCTGACGGTGGGAAGACCTGGGCTGCAGGGGCCCAACTAGGCCATCACTCCGCCCCCTCCCCCACRGTGCCCTTCCCTCGGGCCCTTCCATGTGGACATTGGGCCCCAGGGCATCCAACTGGAGGAAAGGTCCAAGCAGCTCCTGGGGGAAGTGAAGCTTCTCAAGAAGTTCTGGGAAGAGTTATTCAACAGAAAACCTCAAGCGAGCCTTGCTGAATGTCAGCGGTCCCCCTGTCTGTACTGTCCGTCCCAGCACACCACTGGCAAGACAAGGACAGGGAAAGGCAGAGAAGCCGGCTTCCTGGAACCTCAGCCTGAAATCAGGGCACTAACTGTCCTTCACAACCAGGGAGGGACTTTCACAGCAGATGCCTCGCCACCTTACCCACAAGACACAGAATGTCAAGGCCCAAGTGCAGTCAAGTATGAGTGTCCCACCACTGGGATCAGAGCCCCCTCTAAAATGCTGGGTGGGCCAGGCACAGAGGCCCACACCTGAAATCCCAGTGACTCAGGAGGCTGAGGCAGGAGGACCACAAGTCCAAGGCCAGCCTCAGCAACTTACTGAGATCCTGCCTCAAAATAAAAAATACAAAGGGCTGGGGTATGGCTCAAAGGTTAAGTGCCCCTGGATTCAATCCCCAGTATCACAAAAAAAAAAAAAAGAAAAGAAAAGAAATAGAATGCAGGGTAGGTCTCTCCCCCCGCCCCCAATCTATATCAAAGTCACACTCATTACTCTCAAAATAAACCAACAAAACTATTCCCTCTAGCACAAAAATATCCAATTTTAGGGCAGATCCTTCAAATGCACTTTTTTTWWAAAAAAATCATTCAGTGCTGCAAGTGGTAGAACCATCTGTCATCAGCAACTTGGGAGGCTGAAGCAGGAAGATTAGTGGTTTGAGGCCAGCCTCAGGAACTTAGTGAGACACTCTCTCAAAATAAAAAATAAAAAGAGCTTGGGCCAGGCACACACCTGTAATCCCAGTGGCTCGAGAGGCTGAGACAGGGGGATCACAAGTTCAAAGCCAGCCTCAGCAATGACGAGGCGCTAAGCAACTCAGTGAGACCCTGTCTCTAAATAAAATAAAACAGTGGGCTGGGGATGGGGCTCAGTGGTTCAGTGCCCCTGAGTTCAAACTCTGGTACCCCCCCCCAAAAAAAAAGAGCTGGGGGTGGGAGTACCCAATCCCTAACACCAAAAATAAAAAAGCTTAATATGTATAAATCATGGGCTGGGGTTCAGTGGTAGCGCGCTTGCCTCGCATGTGTGAGGCACTGGGTTTGAGCCTCAGCACCACATAGAAATAAATACATAAAGCTATCATGTCCTTCTACAACTAAAATATTTTTTAAAATATATATATACATCATTCATTAAAGAAGTATCCCACAGCACCACTTAGCAAATAGATCTCCCTCGTCTTTCCTGTACCCAAAGCACAGCAAGCATTGCTGCCTGCRTGACGTGGACCTCCGAGGCGTCAGTGGGCTGTGACGCTTCAGGCTGATCCCCAGGAGGCAGAGGAAGGGAGACTGGGTAACCGTGGCTGGGCTCTGAGCCCGTCCCAGTAGGTCAGGGGGGCTGAAGGCCACGCGTACTCAGCAGCAGCTGCACGCCCTTCCTGAGGAGGATCTCCTTCACTTCCTGCCGCACACAGGGCAGGAGCTCCTTGTCAGCCAGGGGAACTTGAGAGTGAATGAGAGTGACCTGGGAACAAAACAAAACATCACTCAGCGCTCGCCACGCCCAGGACAAGCCAGGACATTCCCTCTCCAGGTGCCCAGGGCCCTCTATCCCTGCCCCCTGTGCCCCTGAGCATTAGAAAGATCAGTGCAGGCCGAGGCCACCCTCCTGTGGGCAGAAGGCACTGCTAGCAAAGTTGTCCCCACGCCTGGGCAGGCAAGGGGTTGCCCTGCAGGCTCCCACCACGTGGCCATCCAGGGCAAGGGCTACCCCATCAGGCAGGGACCAAAAGCCAACTGAGTATGTCCTTGTTCAAGTTCGCTGTCGGCAAGAAGAGGTACTCAAAGTCTAGGTTTTATCACCTTAAATTCTGAAGGTGACACAGTTCACCTTTTTTTTTTTTTTTTTTGGTTCCAGGGACTGAACCAGGGACACTTAACCACTGAGCCACATCCCCAGCCCTTCTTTATATTTGTTTATTTTTTTTAATTGACTTTGTTATTTTTTTTAAAATACACGACAACAGTGGAATGCATTACAATCCTTATTACACATACAGAGCACAATTTTTCGTATCTCTGTATATAAAGTATGTTCATGTCAATTTATGCCATTATACATGTACTCTTTTTTTGCATTACAATTCTTAATACACATATATACCACAATTTTTCATATCTCTGTTTGTATATAAGGTATGTTGATACCCAATTCAAGTCTTCCTACATTGTATAATGATGTCCATCACATTCCACCATCCTTGCTAATCCCCTTCCCCTTCCCTTTCCCTCCCACCCCTCTTCCCTATCATTTTATTTAGACACAAGGTCTCACTGAGCTGCTTAGCGCCTCACTAATTTGCTGAGGCTGCCTTCAAACCTGTGATCCTCCTGCCTCAGCTTCCAGAATCGTTGGGATTACAGGCGTGCGCCATCGTGCCCAGSTGACAGAGTTCACCTTTACAAGACATCTCCCCTGGGTCCGTCCCACGGGGTTGGCCCAGAAAGCAGGACCTCTCCAAGAACAGGACACCCCCAGAGCAGGTCTGCATAGTCAGTGGCAGGATCCTGGTTCCCTGGGAAAAGTCCCTGCAGAATCTCTCTTTAGCACAAGACAGGAAACACACAAGCATGCACAGCTTCTGTGAGCAGGGCTCTGACCTCCAGAGCCCTCAGAAAATTCCTCATGCTCCTCAGGTAAAGTCAAAGAAGCTCCAGGCCAAGGCGGCCGCCTCACCTCTTTGTCAGGGTATTCTGTCTTAATCTCTGCTGCCATCTCCACTCCAGCGGAGCCACCTCCCACCACAACGATGAACCGTGAGCGCTGGACCTGGAGAGAACAGGGACATAAAACACACCTACATATCCGCCCTCCRCCTGGCGGTTCCACCTGTGGTGTGGGCTCCCTGGCCAAAGAAAGGTGGAGAACTCTCCATATTTGGGATCCCATTAGGCCTCCTCCTAGGGTCACTGTGCCAACTGACTGGCATCACAGGAACTGAGCCTCTCTAAAATCCCAAAGCGCTGGGCAATCAGGAGGGCAGGTGGATGTGAAGGGACAAGTCTGGCCACACCAAGCACAGCCCAGCAGGTCTGGGGAGCTCATGTCCAGGCCTCTGTGGCAGGCCCAGAGCCCCTCCCASGGAATGTCTTCCTAGCAACTCTCCAATCTCAAGCTGCTCTCAAGTGCCCCCCGGTCTCCCTGCTGCGGCCCCAGCTGTTCCCTCATCCACCTACACCTCCCCATGCCTATCCGCAGCAGCTCACCTGCTTCACCATGTCCTCATAGGCCTGGATGGCCGCCTGCTGACAGGAGACCTTATTAAACTTGCCAGGGAAGGGCCCACTGCTGCCCGTGGCCAGGATAAGATGGGAGAAGGGCAGGGCCTGGAGGGAYAAGAAAAAGAAAGATGAGCYGGGCACAGTGGCGCCTGCCTGTAATCCCAGTGACTCGGAGGCTGAGGCAGAAGGATCACAAGTTCAAAGCCAGCCTCAGCAACTTAGTGAGATCCTGTCTCCAAATAAAAAAATAAGAAGAAGAAGAAGAAGAAGGGCTGGGSATGTAAYTCCGTCATAGAGTGCCTCTGATTCAATTAATCCCTGCTACCCACTCCAAAAAAAGAAAAAGAAAAAGAAAGATAAGGGTAAGACAAAGTGGGGAGGCCTGGGTTTCCATATCTAACACCAGAACCCCAGTATCCATGGAGCACCAGGCAGAAGAGGCCCATGGGCACACAGAGGACACGGTCCTTTTGGAAGGAAGTGAAATCACCAAACCAGGGGGGGCCAAGGGATGGCACCAGAASCCAAAGACCTAAACAAGCAGATTTTACCTCCTGCCTGCAGAATACATGACCCACAGCACCAGACCCTACRGAGGGGAGAGGCCCCACTGCAGAAGGCAGGTCAGCAAGGAACAGGAAATCAGGCACAGGGAACGCGCTTCCAATGTGGAGTTTAGAATCTCCTGGACAGCTTAGAAGSCTCCTCCCACCCCTACCAAAAGAACAGAGTGGAAAGGGGGAGGAAGGAAAGAAGGGAGGGAGGGAGGGGAATATCGTTTGGAGCCTAAGTATATAAAGTGTTCCAGTGGGAGGGGGACCAGAGGCCATCTGGACCCACTCAGCCCCTGCTTTTGAGCTCCGAGGTGCCCTCATGGACCCTACCAGGGATCTGAGAAGCACAGATCAAAACTGCAGGACAAGAGACACTCAGTAATCTTTCCAACTAGTGAGTCTCTGGTCCCTTAAATTAATTCAAGAGCGACTGATTCACACTAAGGCACATACTTATTGAGGACAGGAACTTGTCTCCAGTTTCCAAGCCCCGCTTAGCTTAGATACTGCACCRGGGGCTGAGCTAGAGCTGTCCGTCAATCCATCCTGAGGGCTGGTGGCTGCTCACTRACAGAGCTCGGCCCCCTGCAGGCACATGCCAGGTGCCTGCTTCCCTGGGGCGAGGATCATGAAGATGAGTGAGGGGAACCTCGGCCCCCAATGGCCTCCCCATCTGGGGAACATGGCATCATGCTTGTGCCTAACTTTTACTTCTAGATAGTGAGGACAGTTTCCACGGCTGGCCCGGCCTGGTCCCTGTCGAGGACACTGGCTTCTGGAGCAAGGACTCAGGGCTGAAAGTGCCCGGATTCCCATCTTGGCTCAGTCTTTTGCCAGCTCAGCTGGGGGACCTGAGGCAGGCCGTTTAATGTATATGGAAAATGAGGGTCCCACCTGCCTTAGACCGTCACGGCAGTCACCAAATGAGATTTACATGAAGGATCGGGACAGTGCCTGGCATACAGGAAAAACTCAAGAAATGCCTGCCACCGTACTCTGTGGCTGCTGTGGTCCAGCCTCTCTCCATGAGGAACCTATCTGCCCCGCAACAGGCAGGGCTTGGAGGCACAGAGGGCACTCCCCCAGCCCCAGAGAGACTGGTCCTCCAGCTAGAGGACAGCTGGGTCACTCACCTCACCACCCTGCAGCAGCACCGTCTGATTCTTCAGGTCTATCCCGACCACCTGGCCCTGTCGGAAGTTGTCCTTGAAGGTCACTGAGTAGGAAATGAACGTCTTTTTGGCAAACCCTGGGGAACGGACACAGAAGAGTTCACAGTGCAGAACCAGGCTGAGCTTCTCCTGAGCCACACACCAACAGGGGCGCCCCTGGCCACAGCTAGGTCAACAGAGGCACCCAGGTCCCCCCAAATGCTAAGTGCCAACCTGGGCCCCAGGTCTTTGGAAAAGCCCAAGCTCTGACTCCGAGGCCTTGTTATGGCAACTGCTTAAGCCACTGACCGGAAAGAATCTATTGATGTCATTTAGGAAACTCGCCCTACATGGAGAAAATCGGTCCCTGAAATGAGGTCCCACTGCAGTGACAAGGCCATGCTCACAAAGGCAGCCCCAGAAAGGAGCCCATTACCACTCTCCACGGAGGCCCGGAGGGCAGCCACGTTGTGGTGGAAGGAGTCCTTCATGTCCACCAGCAGGAAGGGGATGTTCAGCGCCTGCAGCTGGCTGGCAGCCGCGATCCCCCCGAAGCCCCCGCCCACGATCACCACGTGCAGGGCTCCCGTGTCCGCCGAGACCTGGGACCCCATCTTGAACCAGGCACTWCTGGGCTGCGAGAAGAGACCAAATCAGAGTCAAGGTCAAATGTCATGAACTGACCTTCACAAATGAGGTCAATCCTTCATGAATGAAATTCCAGTTTTGWAAAAGGTGAATTAAATTCAGAAGTGCTATCCTACCTCCGCCCCATCCCCCACCCAGCCTGCTCCCTTCTCCAGAGGCACCCACTTTTACCTCGTGTGCATGYGCCTCCCCAGAGATATTCTTTGCACCTACAGTTCTGACAATTTTTGCACATGTTAAACAAACTGTTGTGCACTTTTTTACCCAGTATATTTCACCAGACTTTGGAAGAGGGTAATAATCACTCAACAATATTCACATGGACCTTCTACTGACATGCTCTTGCTGTGGCCCCTACCTTATATTGGCAGAGCTTACACAGTCAAAGGATCAGGTGGATAATGTAAATGATGGAAGCTGGGCAGGTGAACAGTAGGGAACGGAGAGCAGGTGTGTGGAGAACTGGCCGACATGGGCACATCTAATAGAACAGAAATTCCTCAAGCCTTGCACCAAGCAAACACTATAACCACACCTTGCTAGGCTTACAGGCTATGGCCYAAATCTAAGAAGGTCAATTAGCAGGGTTTGACGAGATGGCCTCAACTTCTAGCTCTTTTCCCAAATTTTAGYTCCACTGAGACTCCTCCAAAATAGAATGTCGCTATGGTTTGAATGTATCCCAAAAGCATGTGCTGCAACTGAACACAGTGGCCCACGACCCGCCATCCCAGCCACTCAGGAGGATCATAAATTCGAGGCCAGACTTGGCAACTTAGTGAAAGTCCGGCTCAAAATAAAAGTTTGCAAAAGGGCTGGGGATGTAGCTCCATGGTAGAGCATCCCTGGGTTCAATCCCATAGTATCATTTAAAAAAAAATTAATCCTTAATGTGACCATGTTGGGAGCAAATGGGAAGTGTYTGCATCATTTAGGTTCTAATCCATGAATGGGTCAATAGTCATGTAAAAGACCTTGAGGGGCTGAGGTTGTGGCTCAATGGCAGAGCACTTGCCTAGCACTCGTGAGGCACTGGGTTCGATTTCCTGCACCACATAAAAATACCTAAATAATAATAAAGGCATTGTGTTCATCTATAACTTGAGCCGTTCAAGGCCAGCCTCAGCAACTCAGTGAAGCCATAAGCAACCGTCTCAAAAATAGCAAGGGCTGRGGGATGTAGCTCCGTGGTAAAGGGTTCTTGGGTTAAATCCCYRATAAATAAATAAATAAAAGGCCTGCAGCTTCGTTTGTTCTCTTACCCTCTCACCCTCTTCTGCCTTCTGTCACGGGATGACCCAGCAAAAAGGCCCTCTCATGCCACCCTGCCCTCCTGGACTCCCAGCCTCCAGAGCGTGAGTCAGTCAGTTCTGCTCACTCCAAACGCCCCGTCCGTCCGTCCGTCCGTGGTATTCTGTTGTAACAACACAAATGGGACYAAGACAGATGGGGTGTGACAATGGGGTCGGGAGGAGGAGCTGGCACGGGGCCAGGTCCCGCTCCTACAGCTTTCCTGGGACAGTCAGGAGACATGCCCCCCCCAAAATGGGGACAGCAAAAAGTCCTTCTGGGCTAAATCTCCAAGGAATGTCTGCTGGTGAGAGAGACGGTCAGGGAGAAACGGTGTCGTGCGGACTCCTCGTGAGAGGTGAAAGGGGACAGCAAGGACCCAGGGACAGGTACGGTCATGTAAGAAGCGTGTGCAGGGCCAGATCTGCAGACTGGACCCACCCCAGGCTCACACTCACCGGTGACCAGTTCCCAGCAAACTGAGAGCAAACCTCGGTTCAAGTCTCAGGGGAACTGGAATTCGGGAACCCGTGGCCCAGAGCCAGAGCTGGGGCCATCTGAGGCTGAGGAAAGCAGTAGCTGGGTCACTAGTTGCCCAAACACCGAGATGGACAGAGGGGAAAGGAACCATAACCATGTGACCAGGCATATGGTTAAGACATGAGGTKTCCCCCAAAAGCTCAAGTATTAGAYGARGCAAGAATTTTCAGAGGTGAAACAACTGGGTTGTGAGTTATGACCCTCCTCAGTGAACTAATCCACTGATATCAGTGAACCAGGTGGTAAGCGTGGCAGGTAGGGTGTGGCCYGAGGAGGTGAGCGGGCCTCTCCTACTTCCTGCAGACCATACCCTGAGCGGCTCTCCTCCTCCACCCTGCTGTTTGCCTCACCTMAAGCCCAGAACAAGGGAGTCCACCATCTGTAGACTGAGACCTCTGAAACCATGAGCCCCAAATAATATTCCTCTGTGTTGTCTTAATTAGGTCTTTGGATCCCMGTAATGGAAATGCTGACTAAAACATCAGGGCTCCCCCAGCCCACCTGGGAGGCTGTGGACAGGGTYGCCTGTAGCATCCCAGTCTGCCCCTAGGGAGGCTGAGGGACTGGGGCTCTAACCAGGGATCTTGTCTCCGGCCAGCTGTACCCCAGAGAAGGACGCATACGGTGTGCAGCCTTCAGTCAGAGGAAGCTGAACTCCTAAGAGCAGCCGGGGGCTGTTGCGGACACTCGCTCAGCGACAGGCAACCAACCATACTTGCTCCCAGACTGTGCCAAGTATAGGTGAGGGCGGCCGGGGAGGCGCCGGGGAACAAGCAAGGGTCACTGCACAGAGAGCATCGAGGCCCAACAGCCCTGCGAGCTTCGGGGAGGAGGAAGCGGACAGTGGGAGGGCAGGCAGGGCTGTCCAGGAAGGAGGACATGCACTCTGGGGTCAGTCTTGAAGTTGCTGAACAGCTTCATGGGGGTGAGGGCTCCAGGGGACCTTCTGGGGTCACACGGCAGCACTGGAAGGTCACTGCACTGTTCTGATCATCAGTGTAGCCTGGAGTTCAGCCCCTTCCCTCTCTAGGCCTCAATTTACCCCATCCATGGTGGTGCTTGCCTATCATCCCAGCGGCTTGGGCGGCTGAGGCAGGAGGATCCCAGGTTCAAAGCCAGCCTCGGCAACTTAGCAAGGCTGTAAGCAACCTTGAGAGACCGTGTCTCAAAATGAAATATAAAAAGGGCTGGGGATGTGGCTTAGTGAATAAGTGCCCTTGAATTCAATCCCTGGCACCAAAAAAAAAAAAAAATTGTACTCCCTCTCATGAGTGGGGGCTCTMAGGCCCCACCAGCTCTAACACCCTGAGCTGCCCTTGGACACATGGGGTTCCAAGCCGTGGTGACCCCAACATGGTCCCCCAATCTTCCCACAGCCAGGGGTGGCTTACAGTCAGAACTCTAGGCACTGTCTTCATGGATGGTCAACTGCCCACTGCTGACCTTTTTCCCTCAGGGACAGAGGAGGGGATTTCCAGGTGTTTCCCATTGGCCAGATGATTCCGATGCATTGAGGTTGGAGGATCCCTCCCATTTAACTGCACCCCAGGCAGGGCTGGGACCAGGAGAGTACTCATGGGGACAGCCCCAAGTCCTTATTATCCAGAACTGATCCCTAGTATTGCTCAGGCTTACTCTGCCAACTGGGCCAGAAGAATGTCTCCTGAGAGCCAGGAGCCAGGAGGGCTCAAGGTCCCAGGCACAGGTAGGAGAGGGCACCAGGACGTGGGAGGCATCAGGCAAGCCACAGGTGGGGTGTCTCACCTGCCCCTTCAGTGTGGGAACCCCTGTGACGGGCCTTGCCCTGGGGGCTGGCAGCCAGTGATAAGGCAGGAAAATACCCAGCAAGCCTCCCTTCCAAGCTGGTTGGGCACAGGCTCTGAGAGGCTATGGGGGGCAGAGGAGCCACTGGGTGCTAGGTCACACTGGGCCACCCAGAGACTCAAAGGCAATATCCAAGAGGTCTGAAAAGGAGCGAGGGGACAACATAGACCACAGCCCTGGTGGACAGCAGTGGGAGTTATTCAGGGTAYATGTGGCAGAAGGGGTAGGGGTGCACAGGAGGGCAGGGGACAGGGGCCAGCACAGATACCGAGTGACTGTCATGTCAAGGCAGCTTTAACTGCCAGGTAGGCAAACAAGGCTGTGACCAGCCCCTCAGGGGACACCTTCCCTGTGCAAAGAGAAAGCCAGCAGCCCCAGGGCAGGCCTCACAGGAGGTACTTTGACCAAAATAGTTTAGCCAGAGTTCCCTCAGGCCCCAGGGGTCCTTAACCTTTGCCTCACCCAAGAAGGCAGGCCGCCCCCTCMAGGCAACGGCTTCTCTAGAGTTGGGGGGGCCTGAAGGCATGTCCAGACCTCCAAGGGCCGCAGGCAGGGTTGTGGGAGAGGAGGCAGGCGCTCTTCCACTTCCTGCTGCCTGAGGCCTCTCCTGGAATCTGTCTTTTTCTCCTCTAATGACCTCTGACAGCCTCACTTGGGGATGGGAACCAGGTATTATCCAGCACATTCCACCCTTCCTCGGCAGCAGCCCCTCACCTAGCACTTCTGGACACCCCCATTCTCCTCGGCTCTTGCAGTGTCAATTCTTACCTGGCCCCTAAGGACGGCTGGACTCCTCTCTGCTGGGCCATGACCTAGTTAGCCAGACACCTCAACCAAGGGCTGCACTTCAGGCCACCTACCCAGCAGGTGCTCAAAATATATGCAAGGAATGAATGAATGTTCAATTATTACCTCATCTAACATGGCAATAGTACAGGCAAACCTCCATCAATGGGAGACTCCATTAATCCATGAAAAACTCCATCAACGGGAGAATACAGCACAGAACAAACTATTATACACCCACCCAAAGCTATTTTTTTTCTTTCTGTACTGAACCCAGGGGTACTTTACCACTGGGGAAATCACATCTTTGTTATTATTTTGAGACAGAGTCTCTCTAAGTTGCAAAGATTGGCCTCAAATGTGCTATCCTCCTGCCTCAGCCTCCTGAGTAGCTGGGATTAAGGCACTCAGCCTTATCCCCAACTTTTTCATAGACAAACTTTTCATGTGGTTTGTACTTGGAATTGCTCGGTCAGACATGAGCCTGGTCCCAGGGGGTTCTTTTTTAATAATAAGAGGCCTTTAGGAATCCACTGGAAAGCAAAGAAGTCACATTTCTGCCAAAGCTGATGAGAGGTCAAGGCTCAGAAGACACAATAAGAGACAAGCAGGCCTGATCAAGGCAAGAACATCGCCTGCATTGCTTCACAGAGACCACATCCAACCCAGGACTTTTTATGTCATCATGGCTTACTCCAAGGGTAGATTTCAACACTGGCCTTTGGATAGTCATATTTCTGGAGTGGCCACCTTGGATGATCAGGCCACTAACATGTGACTCTATGGGCTCTGAGCATCTCCTCTTCTACCTCAGGGACAGAGAAGAGCAGGAGACCTCCCTCACTGGACACTAAAGGCCAGGCTGAGAGTAGGCACTCCAAGGCCAGCCCCCCAAGGATCCCATCCCATATATATATTAAAAAAAAAAAAAAGACCAATTTCCAAAAGGGACTCAAAGTCTGAAGAGAGGCTGGGTGCCATGGTGCAGGCCTGTAATCCCAGAGTCACAAGTTCAAGGCCGGTCTTGGCAAYTTAGTGAGGTGGCCAAGCTTCTCAGAGTCAGTCATTTTGATATCTCCTTGACTCTACCATGGTCTGCCGCAAGTGCACTGGGACCCTACTTAAGCCTGGCCTGCCCCAGAGGCCCCACCACCACCACCTGCCCAGCTCCATCACTTATGGGCAGGGTAGTCCTGGGCAAGGCCTTGCCCTGGTTTGGGTTTCTGGTCCTCAGTGAGATGGTTTTGAAGAGCTCTCTCTAGGAGCTGGGGTGAGGCAGATGTGCTCTGAGGGTTTGGGGAGCCCCAGCAGCAGGCATCTGTGCAGAAGCTAAAACCTGATACTACCCTGAAGTACAGGTGCAAAGCCCCTCCAAAACTGACCCTCCCAAACCACCTCATTCTCCCCAGCTTCTCCTTAAATCCCAGGGTCAAAAAGRACCCCCCTCTTTGGCACTGAGGATTGAGGGCGCTTTATTAATGAGCTACATCCTCAGTGCTTTTTATTCTTTAGCTTGAAACAGGGTCTTGTTAAATTGCTGAAGCTGGCATCGAACTTGCGATTCTCCTGGCAGCCTCRGGAGCAGCTCGTCACTGGGATCACAAGCATGCGCCTAAGGCCCAGCTCAGAGACCCTTACTGGGRAAGGTGTGAAGGGAGTATTCGGTGTGGGTGACATTGGGAGGGACGCGTCCAACACTGCCCACTAGAGCAGTTCCAAGTTGACTTGGAACTGCATGAGAGTTAGTTAGTTCAGCCTCTGCTGGTCTTCACCCCGCGGAACCCCGGCCTCCTGATGCACCCCGGCACGTCTCCTGTCACTTTCCCTTTGAAGATTAAGGTTTTCCCTCCCCTCAGTACTCCAAGACCTCTCAGGACCCGTGTCACACCGAGGGGGACCTCGGCTTCCCCGCTGTCTCCGG